TTTAATTTCATCAGTAAGTGCTTTAAATTCTCCTTGCTTTTCAGAAAGCGAGGCTTCGTCACCCACACATTGTAGGCTGGTAGTGAATCTTCCTGGTTACGATGAATTCTTTTAATATAATCTGGCTCCTTGGATTATTTGCTCCAGGTACAAACCGAGCCAATATGGTGAAAGGATACAGCTCTGATGTTCATCTTTCTTGGTTTTAAATTGTGCAATATTCTCTTGCTCTATTTGAAAAGTTGTCTGCTGGACAATGTTCAAGAATGTTGTGAACTGATATAAATATGTCCAATTCTCATTTGTTGTCGCAGAAAATGTGAGATTTAAATACTCAGCCAATAATGGAGATTAACAAATCTTTTATTACACGCTGGTTGAGAATGTCAGCCATTGCCCCAACCATTCCAACCCCCGGGGAGAAGCAAAGATTGGATTTATATACAGAGATTGGACATGGTGATAACACGAAATTCCCTTTGGCTAGAAGTTGAGATTTCTTTCCATTCGGGAGTTGTTATTGTTTCTGACTTCTCCTGGGTGTCCAGGCCCCTGGCCAAGGGGACAGGATGTAGACAGGGAGTGGTAACCAAGCTGGATCAGCCTGTATTAGGATAAACCTTAGCAATACATATTATTGCCAAAATTATTAAAGCATTCATTTCTTAAAAGGCTTTCAGAACAAACTGACTTCACTAATGCTTAGCATTTGATCTGCTATTACACTTTAACCAGAGTTTTAGCATACTTTGCTATGATCCACCACTTGAATCCCTTTTCATAGCCAACAAAACTGATAAATATCTTTCTAGTAGCCTCTGCTTCCAGCTATGATCTGCTTGACATCAGCAAAGATATCCCTTATGCTATGTTCTCTTTTGATCCTAACTTGAATTTCTAGCCATTCCTTGTTGATGTAGTGCTGTAACTTTTTAAAAAAATTGTTATTGCCGTTGTTGATTGTTGTCAAGTTGAGCACAATTCATAGAGACCCTATGAACAAAATACTCAAAGCCTTGCTATAGCTATTGTTTCTTAAAATTCATAGAGTTTCCAGAGGTATGTTGTTTAGGAAGTGGGTGCCACTCCTGCTGATTGATATACAGTAAAATTTTACTGTTGTGTAATATTAATATTTATATAATTGTTGCATCATGACAGATCACTTGTCTATTCAATGGGCACAAATATCAATCTCTTATGGCTAATTGCCAAAGTAGCTCTCTTCCAAATATCTTGGCATAGTCCAGTGAGAGTTACAAATGTTCTATATTGTAGCATCTTATTTGACATTCTACCAATTTCTGGAGCCTTATTCTTCTCAAAACCTTCAGTGAATCTTAGAATTCTTTCTTCAGTACCAACTGGTTCTTGTTCAAATGTTACTTATTTAAATGACAGAGCATTGACTAATTCTTTTTTTCTTATAATGACTCATGACATTCCCTCCATCCTTTTTAAAGCTTTCTGTTAACTTTTTAATACTTTCTCCATTATTGTTGTGTGCCATCAAGTTGGAATTGACCTATAGATGACCCTCCAGTGGTTTTTCAGAGGTACTAAATTGTGCTGAGCAGCTGGTGGATCCAAACCGTATACCTTTGTGTTGGCAGTGAAATTTCTTACCACTAAGTCTGCTGTTAGGGACCTCTCTAAGGTACTCAGGAGCAACAGTGTCTCTCTGGAGACTAAGGTGCACCTGATACAGGCCATGGTATTTGCAATCGCTTGTTATGCATCAGAGAGTTGGACAATGACTAGGGAGGACAGAAGGAGAGTGGATGCTTTTGAGCTGTGGTGCTGGAGAAGGGTACTGAATGTACTATGGACTGCCAGGAAAACAAACAGATTTATCTTGGAGAGGATTAAACCAAGCTACTCCTTGGAGGCAAGGATTCTGGGGCTTCGTCTGACATACTTTGGACATGTTGCCAGGAGAGATGGGTCCTTGGAGAGGGACATCATGTTTGGGAGGGTGGAGGGACAGCACAGGAGGGGAAGACCCTCTATGAGATGGATTGATTCGGTGACTGGGGTAATCGGGATGGGTGTGTCAGAGGCGGTGCGGTTGGCACAGGATAGAGCAGGGTTTAGGGCTGTTGTGCATAGGGTCGCTATGAGTCGGAAACGACTCGACGGCACATAACAACAAGTCACCAGGGTTCCCACTGTTATTAGGTGCCATTGAGTCCAACTATGACTCATAGTGATCTTATAAACAAAGGATCTGATCTCTGCCCTCTATCCTGTACCATCCTCATCATCTCTGACACAATTGATCCTGTGGTTACAGTCACCACGTCAGCCTATCTTTTTGACATGAGAGCTCCAATAGGATCCTTCAAGATTTAGATTCAAGGCATGATTGTTTTCCTCCAGCTCTTTCAGGTTAAAAATGCCAAAGGTGTTATTTCATTTTGGTTCTCTTACGTGAGATCTTTGCACATGTTATTATAATACTTCACTATCTTCAGCTTCTCTTAGAAATGACCTTTGTTACTTCATGATTTCTTACAATGACTTTAGGTACTTTACATTCAAAAGCAAGTTTGAGTCTTTTCTGATACAATTTCGGTCTTTTTAATGGTCTTTTGCTTTCTTCACATTTGATGAGCTTCATGGTACCAACATTTTTCTTATGTTCATCATTAGTATTTGATGTGTCAAATCTATTTTTTAAGATGGTGTCTAAATTCAGGAGGGATATACTCAAGGTTATACTTTGGCTCTGTGAACGAGTTTTCATTTTCTTCAGCCTCAACTTGAACTTGCATATGAACAATTGATGATCTATTTTATATTTAGTTGTGATCTTGTTCTGACCTGATAATACTCAGCTTCTCTATAATCTCTTATATTGATGAAGTCTGTTTGATTCTACAAGATCCTATTTGGTAATATTCTATTTTCTATAGTTGTGGTTGTTTTGTACCATCAAGTTGGAACCAAGCTATTGCAGGTTTTCAGACACAGTTAATCTCATGGGAGGAGATTACACATCCTTCTTCCACAGAGCAGCTGGTGGATTAGAAAGGCATGCTTTCTAATTATTATTATAATTAATTTTGGGATTATAGTGCAGCTTCATGTCACTAGGCCATCAGAGCTCCCTGATATAGACACTATTTGTATTGTTAGGAAAAGATACTTTCAATGAATAAATTGTTACATGAAAATTTCTATCATGTAATCTGCAAAGGTGTGTTTTCTGGTTTGCGGTTGAGATTAGGGTGTGGCTCTTGATCACAATAGGGTGTGAAAGGATTGGATTTGGCCTCATTTTAAAAAGGCTTTTGGGCCTTTGAGCCTATGGCCCTGGAGTCTGGTTTTTGTGGATCTCCTGAATAAAACCGACTTGGAAACACGAGTGGCATCCACTTCCAAAAAATCTTGCCTCTGGAAACTCTATGAACTTGGAGAAAAGATGAAAATTTTGCATTCAAGACTTTCATTCACAGGGTCACTATGTGTTATCTACAACTCTATAGCACTTAGCAACAATAATAATCTATTCTCTTAACCTTATTTTTCAGTTTATTACCTTTCTAAATTCCATTTTTTATACCAATAACCAATAATTATTAATGTGCCTTGCTTGTATGTTTCACTAGTTTCAGACTGCAAAATTTGGTAATAATCCTCAAATTCTTCATCTTTGGCTTTTAGTGACTGGTGCATAAATTTGAATAGTTGTATAAACTCATTTTCTTGGTTTGTGTTAAGTGCCATCGAATCATAGATGACTCATTTTGACTCTATGAATGAAAGACCTAAACACTTGTATAACTTTCATCATTTCTCCAAGTTCATAGAGTTTCCAGAGGCAAGCTATTTTGAAAATGGTTGCCACTCCTGCTTCCAAGCTTCTTTTAATCAGGGAGCTCCACCAAACACTGTCCACCCTGGGTGACCATTATCACATTTGACACATCAGTGTCACAGTGTTCAGCATCACAGCAACCACGAGTTACCTCTGTACGGCAAATGGACAGACCAGTGCTATACCACTTAGAAGAATGTTTAACCCAAACCAATTAAAACCAAGGCCTGAGAGCCACAGATTAAAATCAACCACCTTTGACTTGCTAGCATAGCTTTCTATCCACCAGGCCCACAGAGCTTTCTCTGTGTTGATGTTGGTGTTGTTAAGTGCCATCGTATTGTAGACGATTCATAGCGACCCTTTGAATGAAAGATCTGAACAATTGTATAACTTTCATCGTTTCTCCAAGTTCATAGAGTTTCCAGAGGTAAGCTGTTTCAGAAATGGATGCCACTCCTTCTTCCAAGCTTGTTTTAATCGGGGAGCTCCACCAAACACTGTCCACCATAGATAACCATTATCACATTTGATGCATCTGTGTCACAGTGTTCAGCATCACAGCAACCATGAGTTATTACCTCTATACCCGATCACTAACAATATTGTACATTAAAATGAACCCTGAAATACTTGTTTTGATGATTAACATAATGCAGGTCTCTTCAATTTGCATTCCTGACATATTAGATCATATGAGCTTCTGATTAAAAATGTCCAATATCAGTGATTTTCATCTTACAAGAAATGCTTGGATATAGATCATTATATAGTCCATGTAATTTTTTTATATAGTCCATATAATTTTTATGATTCCCAGATTTCTTAGATTAAGACTTAGTAAACACCATGCTTCAATTATAATGGCTGTTTTGTGGGTGTTTCTTCTAATTTGAATCAGGCCACACGAGCAAAGAATATCTGTAACACTTTACTCCATCCATATCATTAAGATCAACTCTACAGAGGCAGGTCTTCTGCAATCATATTTTGAGAACTTTCCAATCTGAGGGAAGTATCTTCTGGTAATGTATAGATTCTGACAATATATCAGACAATGTCTCATTGCTATTCATAATGTTTTCACTGTCCAATTCTTTTCAAGGTACTTCTTAACTTTTTTGCTAGTTTGTTACTCACCGTGTTTACTTTCTCCTTGTTTGTAAAATGAACAGGCGAAATGAATAAGAAAAAGAAAAATCTGTACCAGCAAACCCAAGCACTTCTGTGCAAGAATTTGCTTTTGAAATGGAGGATGAAAAGGCAGACCTTCTTGGTATGTTTACACGTTTGCGTCTTTCCATATTTAATGTTGTTCTTTCATCTCCCAATTATTCCATTATAGTTTATTTTAGTTCACAGACTAGATCTATTGTTTCTGGAGTCATTTCTAATGACATTTGTTGCTATGAGACAATCACAGCCATCACTGAAAATTAGTGTAAGACTGTAAAGGCTAATAGTCATATTTATCACATTTATTCAGAAAAGAGAATTGTTGTGGTTGCTGTGTACTGTTGAGTTGGGACCAAGCCATTGTGGATTCTTCTGTTGGTTTTCAGAGGCATCAAATTACATGTCACAGGAGACTGTCCATCTTCTCCAGTGGAATAGCTGGTGGATTCAAACTATATACCTTTGCGTTAACAGCTCACTTCTGTAAGAAAACCTTACAGAGTACATGATAGAAATGGTTATAGATAATATCACATTAAAAGTTGTGTATTTGGAAAACAAACAGATTCATCTTGGAGAGGATTAAATCAAGCTACTCCTTGGAGGCAAGGATTCTGAGGCTTCGTGTGACATACTTTGGACATGTTGCCAGGAGGGACGGGTCCTTGGAGAGGGACATCATGCTTGGGAGGGTGGAGGGACGGCGCAGGAGGGGAAGACCCTCTATGAGATGGATTGATTCGGTGACTGGGGTAATCGGGATGGGTGTGTCAGAGGCAGTGCGGTTGACACAGGATAGAGCAGGGTTTAGGGCTGTTGTACATAGGGTCGCTATGAGTCGGAAATGACTCGACAGCACATAACAACAACAACAACAACATTTGGAGTTGAGGAAAATGGAAGATTTTGGCTATCATAAATGAAATAATTTAAATTTTGACTATTTCTCTTGAAGGCTGTGACTTTTCTTTAAAGGTCGATTCCAAAAATTTTGACTAAGTAACAGTGTTGACAATTTGCATTAGGCAAGTAAATGATTTGATTTTATTTTATTTCACTCACAAGTTAGAGATTGTGAGAACAGCAGAAGAAAAACAGGTTTCAGATTTGTTTTTCATAGATTGTACTTGACTCAACTGTACCTAACAACAAGAACAACAATAACAATAACAAAGTTCAAACCTTAGGGGCTTATCACTACAGAAATGTAATTTTAGCTTTTATCATAGTGTGTAGGTGGTTGGTGGTGCTAACTGGGTGTGGGTAGGTACAGAACCTTTTCCAAACCATTATTTAGGTATCTATTCTCCTTCATCCTGGGACTCTCACCATCTTCTAAGTCTTAGAGAATGCCAGTGTATCCTCTGCACCTAATTGTAAAGAAAAAGACTAAGAAAGAGAGAATCCAGGAGATTATATCAGTCTCCACATACCAGGCTTAGAGATGGTACACACCACACTTACATTCTATTGGCTGAAACTCAATCCAGAGACCGCACTTAATTTGGGGGCACCGAGAAGTATATAGTCTAGCCTTATGCCAAGAAATGAGAGATCACTGATTTGAATGAATCATCAGACACTCTGTTATTATTGAAACTTTTTTCAAATTTCCAATACAAAGCTAAGAAAACCAGCACACACACACACACACACACACACACACACACACACACACACACACACACAGAGACACAGACACACACACTTATATCTATCTATCTGCTTGCATCTATGAACTCCTATGACGTCCCTTTGCTTCAACAAATTTCAAATCTAGAATCCACTGAATGTGTATTAATTGTAACGCTTGACTCTGTTTCATATTTCCATTCCTTTACACATTCTTTTCCTGGCAGGATTTTTTTATATACTTAAGATGTGCCCTGGCACCTGTCATCACAAAGTAAACCACAATTTTCATGCATTCTTCCTCATTTTAGAAGCCAATCTAGGAAGAGAGTTTCCCTCCTTCCCGCTAGAGTCTGTACCTCACACAGAGAGAGAGAGCCAGATTCTAGTTTTCATCCTGATGATTTAGCTGATGGTTTCTTTATAGCCTTAAACATTCGTGCTGTAGTTTTTCTTGTATGTGACTTCTCAGTACTTATCGCTTTTTCTCTGAAGTACTGAGACCAAAAACATGGTAAGCTATCTAGCAGTATCAAATGTTATCTTCTATAGTGTTTTGGTGTTTGTTCAGCCATGTGAGGCAATGTAATCTAAATGGTTCTTTTTTCTGTGTCTTTTAGGAATGGGGTCTTCCAATATGCTGGGTACTGTATATGGGCCTAATATCAAGTTTCAGTATGCATACCTATATTCCTGAAAGTCCTTCTCGGGATCTGGGAAGGTTAGATAGATATAATGATTCGGGTTTAACTTTTGCATACACACCAGTGTCTGATATAACTCAGCAGATTATGAATAAGACAGCAACTGCTTCCGTTTTGAAAGGTAAGAATACAAAGGGCAAAAAAAGTTATATTTTATAAGATATGCACAGGTTACATTTAAAGTTAAAGCAATCCATCATGTTAATGACAAAGATGACACCCACCTTTACTTGTTTCATTGGCTTGCCTGTTGTTTTTCCTCTAACACCGTTTAACATTACTTTTAAATCTTTTCAGCTTAATGGAAGCCCATTTTAGGTATGCCCACCTTTCTATTGAAATATTATTAAACAGTTTGTTGTTGTTGACTGCAGAATAGCTGACCCTCCCTCCAGTTTTCAGAGGCAATACACTGCACAGGAGGGAATGGTTCACCTTTCTCCTCGAGCAGCTGCTAAATTCAAATCATAGATCTTTCGGCTATCAGTGCAATTCCTTACCAGTAAGCCATCAAAGGTCCCATTCAACAGTAGGCCTTAGAATTTCATATCTTTAGATTAGTACTTAGGAGGACTATAATCACTGATGTGTCTAGCCATGCTTGACATTGGGGATACAACGATCAAATTTTTTAACTCAGGGAGGGAAATACAAACAAAAGAAGGGAGGCCGTAGTTATTGAATGATGACTTAGAATGAGGAAAACAAACACAGGTGATCTAAAGATTAATTGCCTGTGGTATACCTTGCAAACACCTAGAAAGTCTTCCTTCTATAGGAGAACACAATGTCACCAAGATAACTAAAGAGCTTTGTGAGTGCAGCTCACTTCTCCATGCTTTCAGCCTCCAGACTGTGGCTGCTAGGAATACAATCACCTCCTGGTCTTGATTCCTGTAAATGGTACAGTGCTTTGGCTTTACTAGGTCTGATCTCTCTACTCTTGACTACAGAGGACCTGCAACAATTGTTTCTGTGTTTTTATTCCAGTTCTCTCAAGTACTGTTATTCTGGGGGAACTACGTTTGTTTGTATGTATTTATACCTATATTAATATCTATATATATTTTATTTATATATATTGTTGTTGTGTACTGTAGAGTTGGAACCAACCCATGGCTGACTCTTCTGTGAGTTTTCAGAGGCAGTTAATAGCACGGGAGGAGGTTGCCCATCATTGTCCCACAGAGCAGATGGTGGCCTCAAACCTCATGTATAAAGTGCTTGCTGCAGAAGGTCAAGGACTGTAGTCTTCAAAATGTATTGAAGCTTTATTGTTGTTGTTGTTGTTAGGTGCCATCAAGTCGTAGACGGCTCATAATGACCTTATGAACTAAAGGCCTGAGCACTGTTCATAGAGTTTCTGAAGGCAAGCCATTTCGGAAGTGGATGCCACTCCTGCTTCCAGGCTTGTTTTAGTTGGGAAGCTCCAGCACTTTCCACCATGGGTAACCATTATCACATCTGGCACACATCAGTGTCACAGTGTTCAGCATCACAGCAACCACGAGTTACCTCTGTACAGCAATGCACAGACCAGTGCTATACCACCTAGAAGAATGTTTGACAGGAAAACAATTTGAACCAGGCCTAAGGGCCACAGATTAATATCACCCACCTTGGGCTTGGTAGTATAACTTTCTGTCCACTAGGCCACCGTAGCTCTCTCTATTTCATCGTTATTATTGTTAGGTGCCGTTGAGTTGTAGACAACTCATAGCGACCCTATGAACGAAAGGCCTGAGCACTGTTCATACATAGAGTTTCCAGAGGCCAAGCCATTTCGGAAGTGGATGCCACTCCTGCTTCCAGATTGAAGCTCTACATAAAGAAAACAAAGATGGCAGCACCGATAGATGGAGAAGAGATTGAGGTTGTTAACAATTACAGCTGGCTCGGCTCCACAATCAACTCTCTTGACACTTCAGTCAGGACACCAAAAGATTAATTGTACTGGGAAAATCTTCTGTCAAGGATTTCTCCAGAGTGCTGAGGAGCAACGATGTCAATCTAGAGACCAAGGTGCACTTGATCCAGGCCATGGTCTTGGCGTTTACCTAATCTGCATCGGAGAACTGGACAATGATTAAGGATTACATAAGAAGAATTGATGCCTTTTAGTTGTAGTGCTGGAGAAGAGTCTTGAACATACCACGGACTGCCAAGAAAACAAATAGGTCAGTCTCGGAAAGGATGAAGCCAAGTTTGTCCTTGGAGATTAGGATTTTGAAGCTTTGTCTCCCATACTTTGGACAAGTGGTGAGGAGGGACCAATCCTTGGAGAAAAACATCAAGCTTGGAAGGATAGAAGGACAGAGCAGGAGAGGAAGACCCTGGATGAGATGGATTGATACAGTAACTGGGGTAGGTGTGTCAGAGGAGCAGGCTTCAGAACTATATAGTACATAGGGTCACTATGAGTCACAGGCAACTTGATGGCATATAACAACTCTCTCTCTCTCTCTCTCTCTCTCTCTCTCTCTCTTTTATTTATATTCCTTTATATCCATGTACTACTCTTCCCAGGATATCTCTCTCCCTCCCTCCCTTCTCTCTCTCCCCTCTTTCTCTCTCTCATCTCTCTCTCTCTCTCATCTCTATCCATATAGATATCTATATATCCATATATCCATATATCTATCTCTGTCTCTGCCTCTGCCTCTGTCTCTGTCCCTGTCCCTGTCCCTCTCCCTGTCTCTGTCTCTATCTCATGCCCAAGTGACAAGAAGCTACACTGCAATCCTGAAGGCGTGCAGTTCGAGGCCACTAGCTGCTCCATTGGAAAAGATGGGCAATCTCCTCCTATGCGATTAACTGCCTCTATAAACTCACTGGAGGGTCAGCTATGGGTTGGTTCCAACTCCACTGAACAGAACAACAACATACTCTGGTAACCTAGTGGCAAGAAGCTGCACTACAATCCCCAAACATTCAGGGTTTGAATCCATCAGCTGCTCTGTGGGAGAAGAATGAACAGTTGCCTACCGGAGGGTCAGCTATGGGTCAATTCCGCAGTTCTGACTGGATGGCACACAACAACAACTACGTGCACACCACGCGCACGTGTATAGAGGCAAGGAGAAAGCTCTTTTGAAGAAGTTGATGGAAAGTTGTGCAATTAAATCAAAGGTAGCACCTCTCTGACAGTTTGGGCCCACCAGTGGTTTCAGGAGAAAGAGGGAACGTCTCCTCTCAGAGATGAGGCTTTACGGATTTGGAGGGTCAGCTATGAATTGTTTCCAACTGGAAGGAAATTTTAGATGTATGTTTGTGTGTGCGCTTTTTTTAATGCTTTATAATATGCCTGATGAAGCTGGTTTTGAAACCTCTATTTAGAAAAATAAAACATTGGATTCTCATGTCCTTCTCTTGAGTCTAGGTTTGAAAGCATTGCAGTAACATTTTCCCTCTTGTCTATATGATAAGTTTGAGAACAATGGAAAATTAACCTTAGTTAGTTTGCTTTCAATGGGACATAGATGATGATGCAGTGGGATGTGCCGTCCTGTTTTCCTGTATCCCTGTGTAATAATCTAATCTTTCCCCCTTTGTCATTCACAGGACGAAAAATCATTGGGGTACCAGATGAAAAAGCCATGGATGCGCTCTTTCGAGAGAATGGCATATTCATGGCCGCGGTCGTCTTTAGTGACACTTTCTCATATAAGCTAAAGTTTTTACAGGGATATGCCATTCCATTTTTGATAGAAGGCTTCTCAGGTGACTTTTCATATAAAACATTATTAAGGCATTTTTCCTGTTTCCAAGAAAGGGAACAGGAGGGGTGAGTGGCAGAGATGCTTACACTAGCCCAGGAGGGAAGGGTGCATTGAATTGAGAGGTCAGTACGATGCTTGTGCTAAGAGCTGAAATACAAGGGACCGTAATGACCAATCCTGTGCATTCAGCTCAGCACATACAAGATGCAATGAATGCGAGAACAAACCCAGCTGAGAGGTCCCAGCCTCATTCGAGAGCCTAACTTAACATGGAAGACAGACCTTGAACAATCAGTGATAAGTTCCAGGAAAAGTGTTCTGGGGCTTTAGACATGAAGATAATTAGGGAAGTCTTAACCTGAGGAAATCATATTCAAATGAAGCCCAGCAGTAAAGAGTGAGCTTCTGGGGGTGGGGGTTGGGGAGTTGTGTTTCAGATAAAAGAAAGATAAGTGTGATGCCCTTTAGATTGAAAACAACAACAACAACAACCAAAACAACCCACAATCCGATCTGAAGGAAGAGCTTGAAGAAGAATGTGGTAAAAGTTACATAATAGCTCGATCTTGGGGAGTTCCGTAAACCAAAGTCAATATAGATGACCATTGAGGCTTTTTCATCAAAGCAGAACCATGATTTTACGGAGTGTCCTGTCTCCAGCAGAGAGGCCAGGAGAAGTGAGTCCTGTTCATCTGCTGATTGGGGTAACCAGGAGGTGTGGTCAAGTCTAGTACAACTCTTAGGACCCCATGGACAGCAGATCTGACCCCTGTCCTCTCCTGTGCCGTCCTCACCATCTCTGACGCACTTGAACCCATTGCTGGAGTCACCCAGGCAATCCATCTCATTGGGGTCTTCCTCTCTTTGGCTGAGCTTCCAACTTTGCAAGGCAGAGTTAGCTGATCATTGCTGCTCAATCCCGAGTAGAGGGAGAGCTGAGAGGGAGCAGGACAAGAGGAATCTGTGGGACCTCTGGGAAGTAGAGCAGAAATGATTTCAGAATTGCTCTTTTCCATTCACTCGCTGAGAGTCCCACTCTACCCCTCATTACTCTCCGCGGTGGGAACTGATATGAACCAAACAAGGAGGCTGCTTTCATGAGACATTTGAGTCAGAGGCAGGGAACAGGAAAGAAACATCAACAAAAGAACGTATAATGGGCTCTCTGTGAGGAAGCGACAAAAGTACAAGAAAGCTGGGTGACAAGATAGACTGCTAAGAGGCGTCATTTCAGATTTTTTTGCTGATGGTGGCCAGGAAGTCCTTCTGCGATGAGGTTGCTTTTGATCAGATGCCGGGATGAAGGGTGAGCCATGCACACCCTCCTGGTGCGAGAGCATTTGAGGGCAACAGAATTCCAAGTGCTGGATTCATTTGGTGGTTAAAATATAGCAAAAGGGTCATTTTGGGCTCAAGTGAAAGTGTTCCTTGCTTTTCTCTTCTTCCTCATTTCTAAGTTGTGGTCTGTATAGAGAAAATGGTTTCACTAGTTACTCTAACTGGCTTTCTTCACTCTGTAGTTAAACTTTCCAACTGGTAGATCTTTCTGGTAGTCTTCTTTTCTATAGGGCCTTATTTTGTACTCTCTGCAAAGCCCTCATTTCTTAATGATGGCTGTGTTTTGTGCTTACAGCTAGTTGCTGGGAAGGATATAATGAAATTTCATGTTCACAACATACATACTGGAAAAAAACCTTTGTGGGTTTACAAGCTGCTATTGATGCTGCTATTATAGAAGTAAGTTGAATCACTATTATAGAATTAAAGAATATTTTCGAATTGAAAGGTTATTTTAGAGTTGAAAAATGACGATAGAATTGAAAAGCCCTAATAATCAATGTAAGCTATGTTTGGAAACACCAGGATCTGGAAGAAAGAAAAATAAGCATTTAGATTTTTATGTGTTAATATATAATACAAGTGCAGGGGTTCCTCAGAGTCAGTGCAGGCTCCTCTCCGGATACCTTAGAAAAGCAAATATTGCAATAGTCACATCAATTTTCTGGCTTACCTGTGTATATTAAAGTTATGTTTATACTCTAGTTCATTAAAGACCACTGGTCGTGCAGTGTGTCATGTTTCAAGGAATTTGTCAAAGACTGAATTGACCAGCTGCTCCCAGGGAGAAAGCTGGGTGGTCTCTTCCTCCCAAGACTGAGAGTCTCTTCAACCTGATGCAGGCTCACCCTGAAGTGGCCTTGACCCCATGGCAGTGGCTCTGATTTGGCAGATTGTTTAAGGGCCAGTGACATTATGACGTTTTGAAATACCATGAGAATTAACCACATGTGACAGAGACATGCAGTGAGTTCATGCAGTTGGGAAGATGGTGTCTGTAGACTTGCAGAAACAGGTTTGCCATAAATCTTCATTTGTAACAAATGAAAAACTTCACCAGCTTATGTCATCTGTGAAACACAAGAAAATGGGCTATGCCTGAATAGAAATTTAAGATTGGAGTTAGACAAAAGAATGTGCCTTATAGAAAACTTACATTTCCCCCCCCCTTTTAAAATTAATTTTAATGAACATTTACAGAGATTTTGGATTTCCATTCATTCATTGTTCACTTTTCTCCCCACCTCCCCATACCCCAGTTCACTCTTCTCTTTGAAAAGTAAAAGAAAAATTCCTTCATTGGTATACAATCCCCCTGCCAACCTCTCGCCACCCCGAATAGACTCCACTCTGCAACCTTCATTCCGGACTAATTTTTAAATAACTTTAGGCTCGCAAGACGTTCCAAAAACAATGGTCAGAAAGTTCCCACACACCCTCCACTCGTTTCTCCCCATGCAGCTGTGCCTGACAGCTACCCTACATGTGGGTAGAGGCAAATCCATCAAGCAATACAGATGATGGGCTGCTGAGCCCTTTCTGTAAAGATTGTAACCTCAGAGAACCATGCAGCCCTCTGTTCTGTAATTCAGGGAGTCAACAAGGGTTGGGATGGGCTCAACAGCAACCAATTCGGTGTAAAGATCTGGATAATATCAATGTTGAGTTCCATTATACCACTGGTAGGATTTGAACTTTCAACCTTTAAACTAGTCAAAACCCAACCTCAAATTTATTGCCCTGGAGTTGGAATTGGCTCATAGCAGAGCCACCATTGGGATTCCATGGCTGTAAATTGTACCTGAGGAGGTAGCTCGCCTTTCGCCCGAGGAGCCATCTGACAATGGGTTTGAAGCCACCAGATAAGCACGGCTTTTGCTACAAAAGAAAGAAAAAGGGTTCAGGACTTTGGGTTAAAGGCACAAGTCCCTTCCGACCGCAGCACCAGAGTTCCCTCTAAGTTAGTTAAAAATCACCTCAAGGCCACTGAGTCAGAACTGCCTCATAGCTGACTGTCCAGTGGACTTTCCAAGGCTGGGAATGGAAAAGGAGGAGATTGCTGTCTTTCTCCTTAGGGCAGCTGGTGCATTTGAACCACCTGCCTTTGGGTTGGCAACACAAGTCCTTAGCCGCTAGGCCACCAGAGAGCTCTCTGATTAATGTATAGGTATGTACTCAGAGACTCTTTTTGTTGTTGTTAGGTGCTGTCAAGTTGAGTATGACTCAGAGTGATCCCGGGAACAAAAGATCTGAACTCTGTTCTATCCTGCACCATCCTCACACTTCCTGACCCAGAAGAGCCCATTGCAGCAGTTACCTTGTCAGTTCACCTGGTTGAGGGTCTTCCTCTCCTTCACCAGCCCTCCACCCTTCCCAACAGCATGTCCTTCTCCAAGGAATAGCCCCTCTTAGCAACATGCCCAAAGTATGTGAGGCTCAGAGACCTCACCCATAACTCTACAAAATTGAATCAAACCCATTGGTTAATCTAGCATCTAGTCAATTCTAACTCATAGCAATCTTCTTAAACGGAGGAGAGCTGCCTCTGAGGAATCCCTACGTTGTTATGTTTATGGAAGCTGACTGCCATAGCTTTCTCCCTCAGAGCAGCTGGTGGGTTTGAACCACTGACCTTTCAGCTAGCAGAGGAGAACTTTAGTTAATACAGGCACAAGGTCTCTTTGAAGAACAATAGCTAAACAACATTTGTATACGTTGTACAAATTCAGTTTGTACATTTGAACAATTTGTCCGACGTTTGTACAATTCACAGTTCAATTTGTTAATGGGTTCGGTCCCCAGAGCCTTCAGATTTTATGAATCAATAAATACCCACTAAATAATGATTTTATCTGTTTAAACCCTCATGTAGATCACAACAAATCACTCTGTGATGGAGGCGTTAATGTCAGTGACTGGCAGAAACATGAAGATATTACCCTTCATTTCTAAAGACATATTCCAAGATGAGACAATTATTCTCTACTGCTTGATTTATTTCTCCTCATTTATATATTTTGCATCCCTCAGTGTTACAAAAGAAAGGAAAAAGCTTAAGGACTTGATGAAAATGATGGGTCTACAAGATTCAGCATTCTGGTGAGTCACCAAGTCATGTGGTGGTCTGTTGACATTGAGTTGGTCATGACATTCACGACATACATTCTCATGTACAATCAAAATGTGGCCTCAAGGTCACAGTCATTGGTATGCTGGAGTCCGCTGCATTGAATGGTCACTGTGCATTTTGAACACGTTTACTCCTACAGGGTTCACCCACCAACACTATTTTGGACTTTATTCCTCTTGATCCCTAGATGTGCGTATTCTAATTTTAGAAAGCAGGAGCTCTGGTAGCTTAGCTCATCCAAAAGCACACGGTTCTAATCCACCAGAGGCTCTATGGGAGAGAGAAGGACAATCTCCCGCTGCGTGATTTTATCCTTCTATAAATCAGCGGGAGGGTGAGCTAGGAATCGGTTCTGTCTCGAAGGCAACAACAATGTTAGGATGTAGTTTACCGAGTCTTTCTTACTCACCCCCGAAACCTGTCTGCCCGCTGTGACCTGGCAGGCACGTGAAATAACAGTGGCATCACTTTCAGCACTGAAACAACACGAAAACCGCCACATAAGACATGTGGACAGATGAGTGGTAAGATTTGTGTACTAAAAGGGGAAATTCAGATACCTGGGTAAAAGCCTACAATCGTTTCAGAAAATCTTGATTTAAATCGGGTACATTTGCCATTTTATTTTTGTTGTGATTTAAAGTTTCTCAGAAACCCTTCGTGTTCACACTGGAACGGACTCATAGCTGCCCCTCTAGCGAGTTGGAGGAGGCTGGAGATCAGGGGCAGGAGGCTGCCCATCTTTCTCATGCATCGCTGCTGGAGGATAAACATTGCCAGAGAGGCCAACAACCTTGAGTCCGCTGCACGAGCGTCAAGCAAAGCAGTGGTTATTACTTGTCCAGCACCTTTTCTGCCCTGCGACTGCTAAAGTCATTGTGTGATAAAATTCAAAGACCAAACCGTTTGTCATTTAGTTAATTCCAACTCCTACGACTCTCCATTGGGTTGCTGAGGGGGAATTTCTGGTGTGAAAAACGATGTATACAAACGTCAGGAACTTTGTAAGTAAATCAGTTATTGTTGTTGTTATGTGCCATCGAGTCACTTGCGACTCATAGCGACTTTATGTACAAGAGCTCTATACGTTCTTCTATCCTGTGCCAACCTAGCCATCTCAAATGCACTTATTCTCACCTCTCCAGTCACAGAATCGATCCATCTCATCAAAGGTCTTCTTCTCCTTCGCCACCCCTCCACTCTACCAAACATGATGTCCCTCTCCAAGGACCAGTCCCTCCTTGCAACATGCCCAAAATATGTCAGACGAAGCTTCAGAATCCTTGACTCCAGGGAACATTCTGGCTTTACCCTCTCCAGGACAAACCTAGAGTAAATCAGCACAAAATTAAAAAAAAACAATCTTAATGCAAACAAGCTGCCTCCTTGTTTTCCTGAGGACTACCCACTGCGTTTAAACTGCCAACTCACTGTGTCAGTGTTGTTGTATGCTGCTGTGCGGTTGGAACTGACCCATAGCTGAGCCTCCAGCGGGTTTCGAAAGGCAGTAAATCGCATGAGAGGAGATTTCCCATCCTTCTTCCACAGAGCAGCAGCTGGTGAGAACCATGTGCCCCAGGAATCGCAGTGCAGCTTCTTACCACTAGGCCACCAGAGCTCTCTAATGTATCGTTAATTTTTTTGCCAGAGGTGTTATGCATGAAAACAAATAAGAAAAAAAAAGAGTTAGAGAGAATAAACACTTAACACATTTAATGTATATATTTGGACAACAATAAAAACAAATAGTCAAGGAGTAGAAACACAAACCTAGCAAAACCACAAATAGAAAGAAAACATAGCAAATTAAAATGACAATCATGGCTTCTGAGTGACCAAAGCAGATATTTGCAATACAATCCTTTTTAAAACTTATTGCCAACTAGGAAGAGAAAAAGTAGCATGTGCATTTGTCCTCAAAATAAACATAATTTTGGTTATTAAATCCCAAGAAAAATTTTGCGTACCCAGAAGATGCCCTTCCCTTTATTCAATGTGAATTGAAAGAGTAACTTTCACCAATCATTTGCAAGTCAGGTGTTTTCCTGCTAGTCTTGGGACTCCTGACTTTTCTATAAAGTATGTTTATTAACAGAATTATAATATATATTTATGTATACGGTGAAATAGCAAAAGAGGACACAATGCTGGAATTAAAAACAAACAAACAAACCAGTTTTACAGGGAGCTATGGAAGACACAAATGAACAGACCTGAGAGCCCTCTAAAACCATCAGCGCAAGGGAGAGTGAGGGGGTCCCCGCTGCCGTGCCCTCCCCTCGTTCCAGAAACCTGGAAAAGGCTTCTCTCTTCCTACCTGAGAGCAACAAGGATTGAGTTAACTGTACACTATGATGAGGGAGATATTAGGATTTTTCATTTGGCGTCAAGGCAGATAAGAGATTTTCATTTTCACCTACTAATTCAGTCAGTTTCTGGATAAAGTAACTGCTTGATTAAAGTAGAGGAACCGTGAAAAAGGTGAACCTCTCAGCGAGATGGATGGATTCAGTGGCTGCAGCAACATCTCGCAGGAGGAACCATTGCTAGATGCACTCACCAGAGACGGATAGGATTGAAAGGAAATTCTCAAGCCCTCAAAATGCATGGACATTAGAAACAGCATGCTTAGGTTACTGGTTACGTTTGTGGGAGAAGGAAAAAGTCATTGAGATCAAAAAAGGTGTAAACCGTGAGCTTGACATATTATAATTTTGGTTTGTAACCTAATTGACTGATTCAGGAATAATTATTGTCTTATTCTTTGCTTCGAGGAGGCTGTGTGGTTCGTGTGGGCCAACTGTCCTATGGATGAATTGTTTTCTTGAATCTAAATATTTGACTATCTCATAAAAACTTAAAATAATTTCAATAACTCCTTATATACTTTGACTATTTTGTGAAAACTTAAAATAATTTCCATCATTTTTTATCCCTCCTCAGGCTCTCTTGGGGTTTAATCTATGCTGGCTTCATCTTCATTATTTCCATATTAATTTCAATTGCCATAACATCTGCCCAAGTTATCATTGCAACGGACTTCATGGTCATATTTACACTCTTTTTTCTCTATGGTTTATCTTTGGTAAGTTCATCATTTTATTGTTACTTTACCTGCTTCTGGCATTAGCTATATGTAGTAAGAATTAATGCTAAGCACTAATGTAGCAATTATTATGCCACACATATTAATGCAGAAACTAAGGCTACTACAATTATCTTTTTATGTCCTTCCCACCCCCTCCACGCCCCTGAGTGTGCTTGAGAATGTCTTTACGAATGTGGGCAAGTGTAGCCCGAATAAAAGCAGGCCTTCCTTTTGCAAAAAGATTTGAATTGTAAAAGAATCATAGATAAAAATAGCATTAATGATAAGTCTTTTGAGTGGACCTCTAGAAATATAACTGAGGTAGAATAGGTTATCAGGAAAACTAGTCCTGTCTGCTTTTCTGGGACCACCCTGTAATAAACTGGATGGTATGTACTTTTGACCAATCACATGATCTCACTTGTGTATTATGGATTAATTGATGCCAAATTCCAGTTGCAAAATTCCAGATATCCTGCCTTTAAATCCCCCTATGGTCGTTTAGCCAGCTATTTTTTGGGGTGTTTTGTTTTGTTTTGTGTACCGTTGAAGTGGATCCAACGGGCACAGAAGGAGATTGCCCCTCCTTTTTCAGCGGAGCATTTGGTGGATTTGAACCGCGCACCTTTGGGATTTCAGTGCAGCTTCTTTGCCACTAGGGCCAGCTATGTATTTTGCTATCTTTTGTTCCTAACCCAACAATAATGAGAATGCATCCTGGTTTGTGGTCTGGGGAAGCGACCCTGTTCTCTTTGTGGCAACGGATGCTTCCTGGTCTAGCCTAACTCCATCCCTCAATAAATTGTATTTGCTTTAGAAAGAATAAGAAAAAGATCATTATGCATTAAAAATATTGAAGAGAGTTCCAGGTTATTAATGGCAATGTTCTTATGCAGAGGGCACATCTTTCATCCCAGATTATATTTTCTTCTTCTTGTACCACTTTCTACCATTGACTTCCTACCTCACCCCAATGCTGCTCTTAACAAGAACCTCTAATTTTACTTTTTTCTGTTCAGGATGTTTTCTACAAAGTTAATGTAGTAGTACATACCTTTCTTAGCACATTTTAAACAAGACCAAAACAACCTCAAAAAACAACGAGGACTGATGGGTTAGTTCTGACTTGTGGTGACCTCGTGTGTATCGGTAATACTGTGTGTGCTCCAGAGAGTTTTCCACGACTTAATTTTTGGAAATCAATCACCAGGCCTTTTGTTCAAGGCAGTCAGACCTTTTGGTTAGCAATTGAGTACATTACCAATTGGCGCCACTCAAATGCTTCCACTACACTTGGGTGGTAGGGGCCGTAGAGTTATTGGCTCTTCCTCATATTGGCCCCTATCTTTGTCTAACAGAATAAAAAGCTTCCTGATCTAGTACCATTCTCACCATCTCTGCTCTGCTTAAACCCGTTGTTGCAACCAGTGCTGTTACTTCACTTCACTGTGGCTCTTCCCCCTTTTTTGCTGATTCTATGCTTTTGTAAACAAAATGCCTCCAGGAACTGGCCTTCTCAGAAGACATGCCTGACGCACACAGGATGAAGTCTTACTGTGCTTGCCTCTGAGAAGCGTGTTGGCTGCACTTTGGCCAAGATGACTCGCTTGTTCTTTCAACACCTCCCAATTTCCCCCACCCCCAAGTCTTCATTTCTATCCTTTCCTTGGGTTTTCATTCAGCTTTTTCTCACTCTCCTCTTCCAACATCCGGCATCTGTGTGGAAGAAATAAGGATCTTCTTTAAAAGGAGGTTGAGTGTATTAGTGAGGACAATTATATTTCAGTACTTTCATCTCGATCTCAAAGATAAGTATGTTCAGGTGTACAGGCTCTTCTGCGTGCTGCGCTGAGTCCTGAGATGATGACTGATGGTGATTGATGATGATTGATGATGACTGATGGTGATTGATGATGACTGATGGTGATTGATGATGATTGATGATGACTGATGG